GTTCTCCTGATAGAGGAGTGATTTACAAAAAGGTAACAGGAAACTTCATGTGACATATACTATTGGTATCGGTATCTGATTCGACACGGAACTTGTTAATTATTGGTATTAATTATCAATTATGTGGAAACCAAAAGGGCCTGGAATGGTGTAATTTTTAAACAACTCCATTGTCCTATAATAGTTGTATATAAAGTTGAATTCTTTGATTCGTCGTTTTTACGTCATGCCGGCTAACAAATTGTTATTTTAGTATTATAGATATTCTGTAACGGTAAATCAAGTCATATATAGTCTATCATGAAAGTTTGATATAAAAAAGTTAATTTTTATATTCATCAAAAATTATATACACTTAGCAATTTATAATCGACACTTTCCCATCCTAGGTATTCCGCTGTTCACTTAAGACCTATAAAATAAAACTTATGTATCGAAAACTTGTACCAATCGAACTTCTTATGATTCTGATCTATACCGTTAGAAACAAAAAAGAAGAAAGTACCTTCTTAATATTACAACGTACATATATACATTGACCAGTACTAGGTTAACTTGACCACGTGTGCTGGCTACTACTCAATTTAAGGTAAGTAAAATGTCAGTTACTCACATACACGGAAAAACAATTACTTATAAATATATAGATACTCACACTTCATTGCATTCTTTCTTCAGCCTTTCTGATATTTACCATCGTAATAACTTTATAAGTACAGTTTATTTTTACGTACTTTGCCAAGAGTGCACTTAATTCAACACAAAAATAAACATTATATCAAATTATACTAAATAAAGTTTGCTTTAAATGACACAATCCATTAATAGTGTACATATCTATATCATGAAATTGTTGATCTTAATGCATTTTCTTCTATTTTGTCCATTTTACAAAAAGGGGAGAATAACGAAAAAGACAACATAACAATTTCACAGTCCCTAAGACTCGAAGAATTCATTAAATTCAATTGGTATGTATATATAAAAGCAGTAAATCAATATATATATATATATGCAATTAACTAATTTTGTCACGTGACATACTTTTAATTATTTTCACCTGACTGACCATAGAAACAAATACCGGGAAGTGAATTTTATACCATTCTACCTCATAACGATATGAATCTATTACATTATTGTGGAACCTCCTCCAAAATAAATCCCGATGACGGGGAAAGCAGTTTTAATAAAGCTCAAGTGGTTGTGATTCGGAAACAGCCACGGACGGGTAAGCAGTTTCCGTTAGAACATGATTTATGTAGAAAATTCTAGCAATAAAGGTGACATTTCAGGATTTTTTTCAACAAAACTAGAATAAAACCATGTGATATACTTACTGAGTAAACCTTAAAAAATAGATACTTACATTAAATGTTTCCTTTTTAAAATTTTGGTGTTGTTTTGTACACTTATGGCGTTTATATATTTGATATATATATTTGTATATTTGTATATTTGTATAACTCGGACAGTTTCTAGTCCCTCGTCGTATATTCTAAAGTTATCAGACGTAAAAATACAAATACAAAACGTACTTTTCTTCGATATTTTTTTATTCTTGAAATCGATATATTTTCAAATGACACACAAGCCCTTAAAACAGATTATTTGCTGTTTATATTCTTTGAGTTTTAAAAGCTACCTCTGGAAACCAAGACGTTTTAATTCGTATAGATTGTTGGAACTTGTGTCAAACAAGTCCCTGTAGGTTAATTTTCCAAAAAACTCTATGATCGAATCATTTCGGCCATATCTCGATTTTTTTATAATATTAATGAATGTGAAGGGCCTTCCGTCTCGGATTTGCAGATACCGCATCAAGTTAGATAACGCGTTAAGTTTAGAATAATTTTGTTTATTTTGGAACAAACTTTCATTTGAGTCAGTTGTGTTGTTTGTCTGTGATGTAAAAGGAGATGTGAGGTAAATACATTTAAAATGATAAACAAATCCGAAATCCACAAATACAAAAACAATAGACATACGGTCTTATAGAACGATTAGATCGGTATGGAAGACCGTCAATTTACGTATTCATTCAAAACTATGTACTTTAAAGAATCAATTTAAAGGAGACACCTACCCATATGTTTTAGCAAAACTTGTATAAAACGCACTTCTTTCGATGCCGACCTATAGGCATTCTCATTTGGAAAAAAAGAAATAAAATATCTTTTGAATATATCAAACTACATATACATTGACTAGTCCTAGGAGAGGCCAGGTTTGCTGGATATTCCTCAATTGTAGGTGAGTAAAATATCAGTTTAAATACCCACTTACACGGAGAAAAAAATTGCTTTGGATACTTAAAAAGTGCTTGCTTTTTCCTAAATATAGGTCACTGGAATTGTACATAATATCTTTAAAAAGTATTGTTTATTTTATATACTTTGATAAGATTTTGATTAATTACAGGACATATTGGATACAAAACAATTGAGTTTATATTCACAAAGATGATGATATTTGTGCACTTTCTCTTATTTTCCAATTTAAAAAAAAAACCTAGTAATATACTGAAAAATTAATTAAGCAATGCGCTAAATTTAAATGGTATGTCAAGTTTTAATTAAAAAGATACAGTTAATACCACAATGTAATGAATTATAAATATGTTAGATTCAGTCCGATATTTACCAGTATCATGGAAACAAAACAAAGATCTATAATTAATATTAATATTACCACAAACATTAGTGGAGTCGGTTGATGTTTTTTTTTTTGGTGAAAAAGAAAGACGTTGAATGCACAGACTCACGATTGCACACAACATATTCCATTCCGCTCAACCACTGCCCCTGATTCTTTCCTGCACTTGATTGTTAGTCACCATATTCATACGAATATCCTGTAGTTGACTGACTCAGACACACCCTTGTTTTACGAAGGAATCGAATGTTTACGTTGTTTTGAATATCTAGCCCTTTAAGTAATGTACATGTGTAATAAAATGTTTTTGTCAAAATCTTGATGATTTTATTACTTCTTTTTTAAATTTGTTTTCGTATTCATATATCATCGTCTATTGGAAAGTGGTTAAGAGTTATATGAGTTACATTTGAGAGTATGTATTAATCTGATAATCGCACACGTTTTTGCTTTGACAAAAACTTGACAAAACACGTTAAATTAATAATACATGACTTGTGGTGAATATTTTTCCTTTCAATTATGTTGAAATCGAAATTTTTTATCAAATAATTCAAAATATTTTTAATGTAATCGTATATAATGTTACATTTATAGGGGTTTAAAAGACCATGCAGTCCGACTAAGGTCCGTGGCGGATTCAGGTGGGGACGTAGAGGGCACACACTCACCCCTTTTTATTGAAAAAATATAATTTTTTGCATACTGTAAACGTTAGAAAAAAATCATATCGTTACGCTTGGCACTATTTTTTTTTACCATAATGGACAATTACGCCCTCTTTCACGGAACAATGGATAACCCAGGGAATAATTCGGGACGCGGATATTTCATATAACAATTCACCGTTCGTGTAGCAATCATGAATACGATAAGGCAATATTGAAATGTCATGATTATATATTGTCATCATACCTACCTACACCTAGCCACAACGCACCATTAAAGACTTGTCGACAAAAATGGTAATAGTTTCAGTAATATATATTTAAAGCTTCTTTTGAAATATGCGTGCTATGTCTGTCAGATTGAATAATTATTTTACAATTTAACTACAGCTCTTTGCATCAAATTTGAACATGTTGTACATGCAGTCCCCAATGAACTTGTAAATTTTATGCTTTATTAAGTAAGAGTGCATATGGTGTTTTTGAATTTCAATTAAAATGTATGTAATTTTATGCCACAGTCATGTCTCAGTAAATTTGCACTACTCAGTTTAAGACACAGTAAAAAGGAGATGCCACTTATCTTTTCTTAATATGAATAGGATGTTATTTTTGAGGCCCCTCATGGGGATGTCCAAGTTATCACATAATCACAAATTTTTTGCCAATATAATCACATAATCATTAATTATTTTTTTAAGATAATCAAATAATCAAAAATACAGTCATTGATTGACAAATAATCACATAATCATGAAATATTTGGTCTGGTAATCAAATAATCATTATAAAAACGGCCAAGTAATCACACAATCAAAAACCCCATGAGGAGGCTAATTTTTTTAATCAAAATTTGGTTAGGGAAAAGGGAAAAAAGGAGAGGTGTAGCCCTTTATTTTCATCTCCCTTTTTTGAAACATGAATATGAACGAATATTGGGCTTTGGTTATTTTTAACGTTGGGTTTCCGTATCTTTGACGTATATCGCAATTCCTCTCAATTTTGTTATCCGTAAAATCGCAGTTCGCAAACCTCAGCAGATTCCGGCACCCTACACCCATCTGCCTAGGTGTGAAAAATGCGTAGTACGTTCGTAGATGTTCAATCCATACATTTCTCGTGTAAATAAATATGTTGTTGTCGGATACATTTCCGTTGTGACAATATAAAATGCCGTACTTTGATTCCATCTCTATATAAGCTGACGCTGGATTCTGGGAGAAAATATGTTGAAATAAATGTTTTAGTTTTTCTAAAGCCGTAAAATCCATCTTTTGTAGACAGTTTTCTGTTACAAACAGAATGAATCAAAAGTAAAGTTGGTGTAATGTTCAATCATTAAAAAGGAAATTTATCTAGAAGCAACATATCAAATTTACAGAAAAAATAGAAAAAAAGAGATATGAAAATCGATTCAAGATAATGTTAATTTACAGTTATTTTAATCAATTGCTTGTTTGTTTTAAGATTTTTATTAAGAATAAAAAAATTTCAAAGGGGGTAATTATTTGTATAAATGCAATATTTTTCAAGTTTCAGATACTTTAACTTTCAACATATTGTATGCAACATATTTCATTACCCATTTACTTAAACCTTTAATTTTATATTCTAACGTTGGATATTGTATTTATTTTGATTAGAACGAACCTATATGGAGATATAAATTGATTTCAGGTCAAGAAAAAAGTGGTTTTAACGGCACTGGTGCGGCCCCTCCTCTGGGATGCCCACCTGGACTGAAAAAATTGGCTCAGATGAACGAAGTTTATCTCAATCAGAAAGTAGATTTATTAGAAAGTACGTATTCATACACATCTAGTTATATGTACAGATAATGATTTGTTTCGTTTGTTTGTTGTTTTTTAAATGTAATCTAAATAAGCTAACCTTTATCTCTTAATAAAAAATGTAGATATGGTTTCAAGCACGGGTTGATTATGATAAGGTATGATACACTATCAAACATGTCATTCTAACACTTTATGTTAGTAAATAAATGTGTATTTAAAATTTTACCTTCTTTGGTCATAGAGGGGATTGGTAAAGGGGGGGGGGGGGGGCTGAATACAATATTTGTTTTCACCAAAAGGTTGCATTCCCCTGAATTCTTTAATTCTCTCAGTTCTAATACTTTTCAACTTAACATTTATTAATTGACAGTTTGGACAAACACGGCTTTAGTAGTACCAAACAGATACAGCGTTGAGAATAGTAGCGGACAAAGAGCTTATTTTTCACAAGAAGGTATGAATGATATTCTACAACAATCAGCTCGTGGACAATTGACGTGTTTTACTAAGATTCATTCTATACAAGTTAAACGGGCAACATCGTCTTTTTGGTTTCTTGGCAATGTGCTCGCATTGAGAGCGAGAAGGTCCTACAAAACAAACTGGGTTCGAGGCCCGATCGAGTCAACACTTACCAAGACTTGAAAATTGAAATTTGCTGCTTCTGTCTTGCTAGAGTGACATCTGTCTTTGCTAGGGAGACATGTCATATGGCGAACTGCCGCTTTGAAAAATAATACGCAAAAACTCCAGTCGTATGTTTCCGTCTAATTAAAAAAAGGGTTCATATCAATTACACACGTTCATTGACAGGTTTATGGTCTCTTGGTAGTGTGCTCACTCTGAGAGCGCTTTTAAGGTCTTACAAAACAAATTGGGTTCTTAACCCTGCCGAGTCAATACCAACACAGACCTGAAAATTGGTATTTGCTACCTCTGTCTTGCATTTTCCTGTTCCTGTCCCTAATACACATGTAATGTTTGCCACTGAACTTTATGTAGCTATAAATCATCATATATAAATGTATATGAAAACTACATATACTCAACTTTACAAAGATTACATATGCAGAGCTTATTCACATTTACACATAATCTAGATGTAGCATCCTTGAGTACAAATGTAAGTACATACAACACTCTTGATGTACCTACACATTCTCAAATTTACAAAACAAAACTCCCATTTAAACAGGCCCAAATGAAGGAGGCATACTACATTAACTTTGGATGTAAATTTACAACTCAAAAAACACCTCCTTTCATTTCCTCATGAACACTTTCATAGGTTATACCTGTACATTAAAACAATAACAAATAAACAGTAAATAGACCTCACATGTGCTACATGATATGGCTTTACATCTCTAATTCATAAAGGACATAAACATTTGCATGCAAACGGCCCTAGAGAATACAAGATATACATCTCACAAAAGATGAGATCTAAAACATTTTACTGCAACAACCCAGCGAATTGGATCTTGTGTATTGCCACAACTTAATGTACTGTTTTCTGTGTAGTGGTTTTTTTGTGTGAACTTGATTGTCGTTTGGTCTGTCCATTTTGGCTGTCTATCTTTCTTCCACTTATGATTTTTGATGTCCCGTTGTTATCTTCTCTTATCTAAGATATAAATCCTATTTTTCAGAATCTGAATATTGTAACAGAATATGTTGTGGACCAAACAGAGGATTTCAAATGCACATTACAATGAACGACGGCAGGGTAAGTAATATAATGGCTGACCCAGTGAAACCTGTTTGAACTGAATCTAACGCTTGTCATAGCCACAATATCATCGTCCTTTCCTTTTTAATGACAGCACCGAATGCCACTTATTACAGAATTTTTTTTTAGATGCCTTAAGTAACACAACATTGTCACAAGTTCCAAAATGTTTCTTTTGCTTTCTTACATTTAATACAGTAAGGTTCGTATGGTGAAATATTTGCAGTATTTTTACAAACGCGAAATTAGTTAAAAACTGACAGAAATTCTACATTAACAGTTTATGAAGAATGTTTTCTAAATTTATATTTATCATGTACAACCTATTTTATACAATTTAATTTTTCTAATTAACCACAAAGTGTAATTTTCTTCACAGGAAGTTATTCGCTGTGAGAGAGAATTTAAATGTTGTGCAGGGTGTTGTTGGTGTGCAAATGGTGACCATTGTGGATGGGAAATGACTGTCGAAGCTCCACCTGGAAATCTGATTGGATATATTAGACAAAAGTAAGTTTATTCCTGCCCTTTATATCTGTCGAAGCTCCACATTGAAATCTGATTTGACAGACAAGACGCAAAACAGTACGTTTGTGTCCTTCCCCTTATGTCTGTTAAAGCTGCTGCAGTAAATTTAATTGATTATATATAAATACAGCAGTAAGTTAAGTTTGTCTGTCTGTAAACATCTGCTCCAGTTTGAATATGATTGCATAAGTTAGACAAAAGTAGGTTTGTTTAGCCCATGAAAAGATTATCTTAAGCGAAAGACGTTTGGTCATCGTAATTAATAGTCTTTTTACAAGTTCAAACATAGATTTATGTTTTGAAGTTGGTCGGAAATATGTACAATATTTGCCTCAAACCCATCAAACCCATCAGTATCGTTCAAATGTTTAGATAAACACAAAATCCATATAGTTATAATTAAATGACTTTTATTTTTGTAGACATTTCAATTTTATAAAATAGTCACCATTTAATTTACACACAGTGATTTGATCGAAATGATAAAGCGCACGATCAAATTAAATTTTACTTCATCTTTACATGCAATTATCGAAAGTTCTGCAATAAATTCTTAATATTTTGACCACGTTAGAGGATTGATACACCTACTCCTAATTTGAAAATAAATCGTTGCCACTTTCCAGTACAGGTGCATTCAAACCTATATGCTCAAAACATATGTGTAAAAACATACCATACAGGATATACGATCTTATTTGTGTTTTCATTCATAGACCAACGCCTATGTAAAATGTGCAAGTCTCAATCCAAAGAGGACGAATCCCATCTTTTGTTATATTGTAAACGCTATGAACAATTGAGAAGAACACTATTTAATGACATCCGAGACAATTACAACATAAATTTAAATACGCTTCCAGTGAACATCAGATTAAAACATTTATTTTGTAATTACACCAAGCTTGTTTCTAACTTCATTTTGAACTGTTTTACTATCAGACAATCTGTGGTCAATTGATATCGTTCCTTACTATATTTTCGTCTAAATTTGAACTATATTTATTTTTTATTTTTTTTCATTTCAATAATGGAAACATAATGTGTATCATATCATGACAGTGCATCATAAGCCTATTTGGCTGGCTGAAAATCACTTGTATATTTGAATATAATTGTTTGTTTCAATTCAGGTTGCACTTTAATATTAAAATATTCATTCATTCATTCAATCATTCATAGTAAATAAAAACTGTATTGATCATTATTACCTTAAACCTCAAGTTTTATTGAAATTGAAAGTAATATACCAAAGATATGCCTTTTGTATTAAAGATAAGAAAAAGTAGAATAGAATGCCATGCACTCTGTTAATAGATGGATTGTACAAGTTTTTATGACCCAAGAAACAGAGTTGTCAAGGGTCGGATGGTTGACCCTCCGTTCGACATCTATGTGTCGCCAGGCCTTTGTGATCTGTCGGATCCTCTTCAATGAAAACAATTCTTGCATTTTATACGTCCGAAGAGTAAATTTGAATGGAGGCTTTTACTTACATAACCTCATACGGATTTGATAATCAGAAAAATCTGACGTGGGGTTCTTGTAAAAATTTAATTGCTTTGATAACGCCTTCATTTAATATCAGGCCCTCTTCACATTTGTATATAGGTTCCCCTCAACAAATCCTCGGATTGGCTTAAAAACAGAATTTAAATCTTAAGTATGAATGACAAAAGTATCATTTTATGCATGACATCTTATTGTTTAATCAACAGAACTTCACAGTGGTATTTTAACAACTATATATGTATTTCTTCCCTGTGATCAAGGATTTTTTAAGTAAGACTAATAAAATCTTCGATTTGATCAGAGTAAGTTGGAGGAATCTCAATAGGAAAGGTCACTACGTATATTTTTTGCCTAGTAGGAAAACTATGTATTCAAGTGTTTATTGGTTTAACAAGGTTATACATGGTTAATTAAAATACAATAGGTTTTTATTTTTACAATGCAGACATGTAAATGAATTATCGGCTGTTCTTCTTTATTTTCTTTGTTTTGAATCCCTTCCCCAAATTCTTTCCTATTTTACTTTATATTCTGCTTTTCTTTCTCTTTAGGGGCCTCGGTGGCCGAGTGGTCTAAGTAGTTACTACTGTAATCACTAGCCAGTCAACACTGAGGTTGTGAGTTCGAACCCCGCTCGTGCGGGTGCACTCGACTCCAATCTTAATTGACTATCAGTTTTCCTATCGAAGGTCGGAGGTTTTCTCCGGGCACTCCGGCTTCCTCCACCAATAAAAACTGGCCGCCACGAAATAGCCCAAAAGCGGTGCATAAAAGTGGCGTTAAAACACCAAAAATCATATCAATCTTTCTCTTTATTTCTATCTTTATTATCTAGTTTCATTTTTTGTCGATTCTTAACATTTAGAGGTCACGATACTGTTTTCGTCAGGGTTCATATGTTAATTTAAGAGTAGGATAAGCAATGAGTTAGTTTTATGCAATATTTATGGTTAGATGTTGGTAGGGTCTGAGGTAAAAATATCCTAGGTCAACATTTTGTCACTACTTCAACGTGTCCGAACTCATCAGGGGAGATTTAGAAGTTTGACATATCTTATAATTAATGCAGAAAAGTGCTTCGGACGAACGAAATTATATGAGTGTTATTTCCATTAACTAGCACTGGGTCAGTGATACTGCTTGTGGACTTTTAGTTCCCGATGGTATCAACGGCTCAGTAGTAGTGCTTTGGTACTGACATGATTTATAACATTTTGTTTTCTCTTGATTCCCCGATGATAAATTAATAAATGATTTAGACGAGGGTTCAAACTCCCTTAGGCACAGTTGATCTTAGATACGTTTGGCTATTCTTTTTCGATCCCTATTGATCATTGATCATATTATGGAATATTTATATTTTCATTTTACTTCCATGGTTATATAGTTTCTCACGATTTTAGGTCATACATCCTTGTCTTTCTATATTTGGGGTTTTGAGCTTTCCTCGTGAAAATAAATCCAGATAAGCGCTTCGGACGCACGAAATTATATAAGTGTTGTTTTCATTATGGCAATTTTGTATTACTATTAACTTCCAATTTGAGACTTAAGATTCCTTTTTTGTTTTTGCGGGTGACTTAAGCTTGTACCCTACATCATTAACTCGTATTAGAAAGTGAACGATAAGGTTTAAAATTAGGGTCCGTAATGATATTGCCTGTTTATGCGAGAACAAAAAATTCACAATCAACCCCCTTTTCCTTGACAAACCCCTTAATCTTTGATTAATTTAGCTTATTGTGCTGATCTTTGATTTCAGTGGTTCCAAATGGAAGATGAATCTAACACTGTACGATGCCAACCGTCAGAAGTTGTATGATATATGGAGTAAATGTTGCCCAATTTTCTGTATTTGCTGTATTGATGATATTAATTTTTATGTAAGTTTATGTACTATACTTGACCGTGAAATACAATAACATTAATATATGACGTCTTCATTAATAGTAGACGTGACGTCATGATACCCCTTTGACACCTACTGACCCTCTATGGATCCATAGGGAGTTACCACGTGACGACGTTAAACCAATCACAACGTCACTAATTTCCCCGGACTCGATAATTAACAATACAGTAACTATGATAATGTGATAAGTGTGAAAATATGACAGCACAAAAATTAACAAATGTAAAAAGAAACTTATTTAAAATAGTTAGGAAAGTGCTCCAGGAAACAATAGCTTCAAGCATTATATTTACAAATTTTGTTTTATATTACAAAGTGAGAATACATATGTGCTCTTTCCGCAATCATTAAAGTATTGCTCATATTAAAAGATATCGTCCATAATTAGAGAAAATTCATTCCTAGAGTAGTTTCATGAACATGTACCTGCTTTTCCTTCAACCTGACAATGTGAGGAAATCAAATTCCTTTATGTTATTTCCTATCCCTTGTATCCTAGTCTGGGTAAATGCCATTATGGAAAATAGATCGTTATAGTTCTTTCTTTTATAACAATGATGAAGCTCGTGTTTTAATTTATCTGCCATTAGAAGTAAAACATATCCGTAAAGCCTTCAAAAATAATCCCGTGACTCGTATTCTGGCTGATTGGCTATGTCAAAGAAACTGTATAGTTGTATCTCTGTTTTATTTCAACTGCAACCCAATACGTCGGTATCTTTTGCGAATATAACATTGTAAAGTATGTACACGTATATCCCTGTAGCAATGTCTGTAATGAATAACCTTCTAGCATGTATCCTATATGACATTGTAAAAGACATTTTTATTGAGATCATATTCTAGCCTAAAGCTTGCAAAAATCTAAAGCAAAATAAATATTAAATTATCCCAGTCTTTGATATATATTCAGAAAGTTAAATGTCGTGAATAATAACATTACATGCTTATTTTTCAAGGTTCATGATGCTAAATCAGGAAACAAATTAAGTCCAAGAATTTACAGGAAGTGGGCCACAACTGATTTGTTGGTTTGTGAATGTAAGCTAAATTCTGTTAAAGATATAAATCTAAAGATTTCAACATTTAAATATATATTGAATATCGAACCATGCAGGATTCCTTTCAAACATTATCAAATAAGTGGTAATGTGCAACAACTTTTCATGTAAAGCATCACTATACTTTTCTGCGGCGGTTTCTGTAATAAAAATGTTTAAACGACGATTCATGTGTTTTGCGTTTGCAATGGACTAAGACACCGATCATAATCTTTTGCGTGTGTGTATGGAGGAGGGGGTTTAGATAAATTGTTTGATTCTAAATTTCTTGAAAAAAATCGCCTCTTCAGCTTCGTATTTGATTTGGCCTTCCAACTGTTTTGATTCGAGCGCCACTGATGAGTCTTATGTAGACGAAACGCGCGTTTGGCGTACTTAAAATTATAGAATTATTATGAGTTTTTATTGAAAAAAAAGTTGGCTTTGAATGAAGTTGAACATAATTGTTTGGCCTCGGAAAAAAATCCCATCCCCCACAAAAGATAAATGAAATTGAGAATGGAAACGGGGAATGTGTCAAATGACAACAAACCGACCAAAGAGCGTATCTGAGAATAATGAAACTCATCATACTTCATCATATTAAAAAAGCTTAATACAATGAGTTTTGGTTACTTGCATTTTCTTAATTTTTGTTCAAAACTGAATATGTTGATGGCATCGGTTTTCTCTCTGTAAAGTAGGCATTTTTCACTTCGATCCTGTAATTTTCCTACCGTGATATTTCTAAAGGGAAGATTTCAGTCTATTTAAAAACAAACATTAATTTTATTGACTTATTTCACGTGTATCATTTAACAAGTTTGAATTGATGACAAATCTGTTCAGGATAGTGAACTTTTGTGGATTGTTATACTAAATTTTGACAAACTAATAAATAAGTTTTCCAATAGAAAAAGGGCTCTGAGATTAATGGAACACGAGAGTAGTGAATCGTTGCTCACTTTTAATGCAATGAGATGGCCTTATTTACAGGGCATAATCTTGATTATTTACTGAAGTAATACAATATATGTTTTATACAGTTCCAGGATTGGACGTGAAGGAAAAGGCTTTGTTTGTCTGTGCGTGCTTCATGATTGTAATTTACTTTACATTGTATATACTAGTTAACAAGTTGTATATATATTTAGCTGCTACATGATAACCCTATTATGTAGCATGTTCTTTCTTTCTTTCAATCTTTTCTTAAATTCACTCCATCAGAGCTCCATGAGTGTACTTATAGGTTTTTCAATAATATGGCTAATTCTAATAATAAAAGATAATTGGATGCAAGTTATGAATGCCTGAAGATTGCACAAAACCGCCAGTGTGTCAGAATTCGGCAAAATTTTAATAATTATCCCTAAAATGGAAAAGTGGGAACTGTTCTACTGTTACTACACATTTACTCCTTTACGGTTATGAATCCAATATATGACCCCAAAACAAGAGATGGAAGATAATGAGGGACATTCAAGACTCATAAGTCGAAGAGAAACTGACACTGACGTTTGACAAAAACGATAGAGTACAAAAAACAAAAAGTCCACATAACACTACATTGAAAACTAAACTTATTTTAAACAATACTAGCATATACATAGATGATCTTTACATTGTAAACAATGTATCATTTTCAAAATAAACAAATGTCCCATACAACGTACGAGCCTGTAATTCAATGGTTGTTGTTTTTCGGTTATTGTGTTTGGTATAAATCACACCATTTATTTTCTCTATTGAAATGTTTCCCGAGACCTTCTATAGCTTACTATACGGTATGCAATTTGCTAATTAAAGGCTATGGTTGTTTACATCATCGCCCATGGGTCTCTGGTCTATAGTTGTCTCATCACCAATTATACCATATCTACCTCATTTTATATCAATATACGCGAGTTTGCAGCTAAGTCTTGGATCTAAATGAACGTAATTTTTCATTGCTTAAAAGACTTTTACAGCAGAGATATAGATATCTAAACTAGTCAATTTTTATGAAATTTTATCACAAATACAAATCGATATTGAACGAACATAACATTTAATATAACTTTGAATATGATATAATTTTAATCGTAACAATTATACAAGCACATGAATTTTGATTTCAGCGCAAGGAAAAAGAGATTGTACAGCCCCTCCACTAGGATGTCCACCTGGACTAGAATATTTGGCTCAGATGGACGAAATCTATCTCAACAAGCAATATGATGAACCAGAATGTATGGATTGTACTTACGTCATACTCTTCTCCGAGAATTAATCTTAACACAGAAAAAATCCGATTCCAGAATATTTTTCAACCAAGCAAAATATATTTATAGTAGATCCACGTATTTTGATTGGATTTATGTTCATGAAATATATGAGCTAAGTCGGATAAAAATCGACCTTATGCAAGTGCACGTATACATGTATTCCACTTGGTTGATTTTTTAACATTCAAATACGAAATAAAAGATGCATTTTGGTCTGTTTTGTAGGGTCCTTATACCATCTCAATTTTCAAGCAGTTACAGACTTTCCGTTGAGATTTTTGCAACCCGAAATAGGTTAACAGATGTATTGATATTCATTTGCAAAAGGTTGATTTCTATCCGACGCAGCTCAATTATTTTAAGATATCAGTATTTTCATAATTGGAGAAAATGCAATCATTACATCAAACATTTGTATTTCATGAAAAGGGAGACAACTGAAAAAATATCACTTTCAAACACAAACATATTTTACTCTTATCCTGAAAACACATTACTATACTATGGTGTGCACATCGTTTAAGGATTATATGTGTTACAGATGAACTTAATATTTCAACACAGTAATAGATATAATGCATTGTGTAGACAAAGCAAAGTCAATGGTTCACGTTTTGTTTCACGAAAGAAAATCTAGTTTATAGTTCGGAAATATATTTATTTTTATATCATCGAACGAAAGGAAATATTTATAACCATAGCAAACAAAGTTGTGAGTGTATATAGGTATCAACCTGTTCGTCAGTCCGTCTATCTGTCCGTATGTACGTTCATATGCCCTGTAAGCCAAACTCATCCTAAACTGCTAGACGGATATTGATGATCACAGTTAATACCGTAATGCTAATCTTTATATTTTATTCAAAAAAAAATACCTTTATTTCCTCAATATAGAATTTTTGTGGTTGTTCATTACGTTTGGAAAACATTAAATCAAAATCCTACAAATATCTGCTTGCTCTTGCTAAAAAAATCGACCAAAGAACTAACAGGTTTACAATTCAGTTTAATAGCTTCTATTTGTCTAAATATCAATACTCTTATTCAGGAATATCGACCAAAACTGAATTCCAAAATTATGACAACGAACAATTAATCTGACCCCTCTTTCCACATCAACCCCTCCCCCCGAAGGAATGGACAAGCGGTAGCTGAATGACTACATGTAATATACATGTGTTTCTAGAGACCCGACCCGACTCGCTCGACTTATAAATAATGGCTGTTCCACAATATAACGTCTTTCTAAAACTGTAGATATGGTTACTTGATAAATTCGAAATTTCCATGATATTATTTCGTAAGACTTACAGTGAATTCTCGAGTTATCTAACATTATGGTTATTCTTTGTACACATGGTTTTAATCAAATGATTGAGGCAGATAAAGGAAGCATATGCTGCATCATCAATAATTTTTTGGCTTTACTTTGGTACCAAAATGAGAATAAATAGGCACCGGACAATTAGTTTTGTAATGAGGAGAGCGATTTGTTTACACACTATTTATTTTCATTTTCGACAGATTTTCTTTAATTCCATCAGTCCTATACCATTCAACTTCGCATTATAGTTTAATAATGATTTTTGTTAATCCTTGGATTATAATCATTTTGTTATCCCCTTCACTCAATTTATCTCGAATTATTTAAATGCATACCACCTTCTAATACATATTATAATATATCCACAGCTTTGTCAAGGATAAAATTCAAAAATCCAAATCGGTACAGCGTTGAGAATAATAGAGGAAAGAGAAAATATTTTGCAGAAGAAGGTACGAATGATATTTAACAAATATGATAATTTCTGGCAGATTAGTTTTTCATAAAGTTCGGTATCTCTTCAGCAAAAGACTTGCAAATGATATATTACTTATTCAAATGAAAGGTCATTTCCACATTCAACTTTATACATATGACACACTGCCCTTAACTGATATTCACGAATAGTTTTGTTAAACATGTGTCTAACAAAATTTCTACGTGATTATATGTAAAAGATGTACAGACATTTCACATGGTCAACGCATAAAAACAACACACATACACGTTAACACAAGGTATGCATAGAATGCAGCATTGGTTATCTCGTATTATCACGTTTGCTGCAAGCACATAAAGGACCTCCTGTGCAAACGGGATTTGAGATCAAACCAAAAGACTTTAAGATTGGTAATTTCTGCTTCTGTGATACTAATTTGGAATTTATGGATACAAGTAGAATGGTTGGCTCGAAATCAGAACAATGTATCTGCTAGGGTGACATATCTTAAATCCTGCGGACTGTCCCCTAATAAATAAGCCTGCAAACAATCCTGCTAAATTTGTACACTTAGTTCAAATTAGGGTTCATATCCATAACACACCAGTATGTCATGAATATACATGTAATGGTTTCTACTAAACTTTAAACAACAATCAACACTACACACATTTACTAGGATTAAACACAATGTTCTTACCCACATTTACACATTATATAATGTTATACCACTTTGTATCATAAACATATAACACTTTCTGATGTGCATGCACATTCTCAAATTCCGGAGTACCTACGATGATCTAAGATTATACTCGGGGTTTAATGAGGTTCGTGTTGCTCATCTTTAGTTTTCTCTTATTATTGCCATTGCGTTTTAAATTTGTTACCGACTTTAGAGTTTGAATATCACTTTGGTAGCTCCCGGCTCTCTTTTCCCAATAAAGCGCACATTTAAACAAGGCGCACTATCTTCATGTAAACAGGTCCGACCCATATCAACTTTACTGAATATACACCTGCATACATTTAACCATGAACACTTTCATGGGTTATACGTGTGCATTAAAACCTTCTCACTTTTACGTATTTAAAATTGACAGTACACACACTTACAGGTTATGATATTCATGTACACACAAAACACAACACTACCACAGGGAGTATTTCGAAGAAGATGAGATTGAAGATATTATACAGCAACAACTTAAAGGATTGCAACCACTCTGTAGCCACAACTCAACGTTTAGTTTTCAGTATAATGTATTTTTGTAAATGTTTGTAGGTTGGTCTGTTCAATTGACTGTCGGTCCTTTTTTGACATATTTTTTATGTCCTGTAACAGAAGCAAGTCCAAATATACGTCGGGGTTCTGTAGGGACTAATCCTGGACCGTATAGTGGAATAACCGTCCCGGTTTGTATCTCTCGGATTATTGTAGGTTAGGAAAACAATGATTTTTAAAAGTACAACTTTTATTATAACAAAATTCGAAATTACGAAATCAGCATCAATAATCAAACAATTGTATTCGTTTAATTTATTTCCTTACTTTAATCTAGAAATCGTGTGACAGTTAACCTACCGGGAGTATCTTTGAAAAAAATCTATCAAAAACTATACAAATATCTAACAAAATGGATTGAAACAATCCTCTGTGGTATCAAATCAATAGGAAATGGTCTTAAAAATAGAATTGAAAACATTCCCTCGGGTCACATACCAATCGCCTTTAATTAAGTATCGATGAATATGAGAAACACACGGATTTATAAAGGAGAACATGTCTGACATTTTAAACTTAAATGAACCCGTTACAGTTCAAAGGGCTTAAATTCGAAAAATATCTAGTTTTTAGACTACATAAAATATAGCTTTCGGTGGTCGATGTAATGACTTTCCTCGTCGGCTTTATTTAGGGTTGAAACACAGTAAATGATGTATAGTTGCTAGGTGGTCGAGTGGTCTAGGGCACTGGACACGGTACAGACGGTGTTGCCACGAGGTCACAGAAGTAAGGGTTCGAATCCCGCTGAGGGAAGAACAAAAATTTGCTAACGCAAATTTGAAGATCGAACATTGTTGGGCTATAATTTGAGACGAATTATATATATATTATGGTGTTAGCCCTGTATTACCACGGTTATCCGATGGAGAATGTCTGTCATAAAGTTGTCACATGTTTAGACGTGTATGATACAATCGAAATTTGATATGGCTGCATGGTAATGAACATTATCATCCTTAACGACATACGAAATAGCTGATCTGAAAGGTACACCATCTACTTGCAACTATACATCATGTACTTGTTACAACCCTAGATAAAGCCGACGAGAAAAGGCATTACATCGACCACCGAAAGCTATATTTTATGTAGCCCAGGTGGTCGGGTGGTCTAGGGCGCTGGGCAGGGGGGTGTTGCCACGATGTCTCAGAATTAAGGGTTCGAATCCTGCATAGGGAAGAACAAAAATTTGCTAACTCCAATTTGAAATTCTAACATTGTAGGGCTTAATTTGAGACGAATTATATATATATGTGTGTGTGTGTCATGTGTCTCAAATTTATCCCAACAATGTATATATATATATATAAACTGTTTTTCAGAATCTAACTTTTGTAACAGAATATCGTGTGAATCATACCGAGGATTTATAATGCACATTTCAACGAACAACGATACGGTAAGTGCGATACAAATTGACACAGTTAAGCTGTCAAATCTTTTACTAGTCCTTGCCACAATAACGCCCGGTCAATGCATGCGGTTAATCACCGAATTTGTTTAACTTGCCTTGCACAATCCGAAATGTGACATTATTAAACTTTTAAACATCGTAAAGCACATAAGTTCACCAAAAGTGTGGTATTTGTTGACTGTTGTGTGTTTAGTTTTCTTTGATTTTCTCTTGGTCATGGCGTTGTCTTCCATGTCTTTCGCCTTGTAGTTTTTGATTGTCCTATTTATATCTTTTCTTTATTTTCTAAGTCGTTTTTTTTTTTATTTCATTATGTCATGTATTTAAACCACAACATGCAGAAGTAATTTCAGGTTTTATTTTGTTTTGTTGGTTGGCTGTCTCATTGAGTAATACCCACAAGCCTTTTTATATAAAATATAATTATAGAAAAATATTTGATAATCAACATGTTGATACCAAACATTTGTGTAATGTAAATATGGTTCTAAATTGGATCTATCTAGTCTCGTTTCTTTCCAACAGGAAAATTATTGTACGTTTAACTAGCTTTGTAATGGACAAACATATATGAAATTACACGATTTAAAACCAATGAACACTATGTTTGTTTGTTTGTATGTATGTGTTTTACCTAAACAAATTTCTCTGTTAAGCAATTTTGATGATTTGGAAAATATAGCCTTTGCGTACATTGTTTTTAAAGATTGATTATTGGTTGCGTAAAAAATTAGTTTGGAAAACTTAATTGATTATTTTAAAGGAAATGAAATACATCATTTTCATGATTTTTTGGTATCATATATATCTTGATCCATAAGATAAATGACAGCATCTATTTCACTTATCTGTTTCGTGTACAGCACTACAAGGGTTGACTAGGGTGTGGAAATATGGTCACTTAGGCTTTACCAGTCAGGCAGTTAAAACCATAATGAAGAGGGTCGTTCGTTTAGCTTTCTGGATGTAAAGATACGCATCTACGTCCAGTCATGATGAGGAAGCTAAATCCGATGCATCGTGTAAGGAGATTGTCACATTCTTCGAACGTGAAAGAACTTTTGTCAAAATTCACTGAGGTGTCCGTAGGTGGCCTGTTGCAAAACAAAATTATCTCTCCTATCCAACATACATATATTTCAATGATAATTCACATTGCACATCCTTTATCCAGATCTACCCAATTTACATATCAACCTATTGAATTATTTGATATTCGTTCTTGTTCTTAATATGCATGAGATATTCGCCTCTAGACATTCAGCAAACACACAAACAATTAATAGCAACTACTCAGTGACACATTATAAAACAAACGTTAAGCATATGTTCAGTGCTCTCAATGGGAAAAAGATGTGAACACTAAGTGGTTGTGAGGTAGACAGTTTGTTAAATAAACATATTTTAATAAACGTTTCACGTTAGAAAAATTTAAATTCATGTTCATGGTTCTAGCAAGATGAATATTTTACATTCCATAGTCTTAGACTCCTGGCCTGTCGTTACGCCCGGTTTCACTCCTTTTGAAGTTAATGCAATTTCCTTAGTCTTTGTTTTTTTCCTGGATTTGTATCTTCTTAATCGATTTATGAGTTTTGAGCTTCGGTAAACCACTGTTGCCTAAATTAATGACGGTTTAGCATTAATGTACTTTTTTGAATGGTGTTGCAAAAACTTTCGTCCGTAAACATACGTTTGAAACGTACGTGAAATGTATGTCTTTCGAGCGCATTACTCCTGATTTAATAAGTTTATTTTCCATGGAAGTACATTGATTGATTATTGTTTCTATAACGTTCACAAACTAGCTAGTTATGATTTGCAAAGTGGAAATATGCACCAAGTGTAGATAGTCCACTGAGGAATCTTGGCTATGTTTGATAGTGAACAGCATAAACATACAACTGCTTATCTACGGAATCTTCAAAGAGTTGTTGCAATGTGTTTTTAAGGTACAGCGAGCATTTTCGGACTGAACCAGTATTCGATTGTATTCCTAATGTTTTCAGTTATGTGGTATAAAAATAATTTCATGTTTTTGGTGTATGGAGTTAAACAACTTAAATGCAGAAATAAAAAAAAAACATTGTTCTTAATGAGACGAATTTTCTTGTGACCAATTTATGACTTTAAAAGATCACATGGGAATTTGTTTTTATCGTGTAAGTTCCATTTTTTTCCCATTTTTTCCTTACAGAAAATACGTAAAGTTAGTGCGGAAATTTTTTTTGCTGTAATTTGAAAAACCTTAAGTAAGCGAAAGCTACCACCACGGAACTTCTACGTTGACATTGTATGATGAATTTCTTAGTTTATATATCTCATGCTCCAAGTTTTGGTATACAATTTTATTTTAATATTCACAAAAAGGGAATTTTCTTTGTAGGAAGTTATTCGTTGTGAGAGAAAATTCAAATGTTGTGCAGGATGTTGTTGGTTTGCAGATTGTGACAACTGTTGGTGGGAAATGACTGTCGAAGCTCCACCCGGCATTTTGATTGGATATATAAGACAACGGTAAGTTTGTTCCTCTCCCTAATTCATGTCAAAGCTGTAGCAGTAAATTTAATTGGCTATATAATGACAGCAGTTAGTTTGTCCCTCTATAAATGTCTGTCAAAGCTCCAGTTTGAAATCTGATTAGATAAACTAAACAACAGTTTTGATCCATGCTAAGTAATCAGTTCAACAAAAGTTTCATGGTTTCACCTAAAAACTTTTTGGAATGTCTAGTAATTGTCTTTGAAAAATTCAGAATCAAAGTATGTTGGAATTCAGTTTGATATTGTCTTATGTCTGTAATTACTGTTCAATTCTAACTGAAGTTATTTCGATAAAAACAAAATTCAATCTGATATACTTTTCTCAATAAATGGTCTCCGTATATTTTCAAAACATTTTATCTAATTCCAAAAGAATATGAATTTATACAGTTAATATTCTGAACTCGTATTTATTTTAACATTGCTGGTGTACAAATAAAAGGCGAAGAGTGTTTGCCAACATACCAACTGTTATGTTCTGTCAGCTAGAAGCGATATGGTTTCGTAAGAAGCCTGCAACCAATAAAAACCGAAAATTTGCCTGAATTCCAAAACTCTATACTTTTTGATTTTTAGTGTTCATTTTAAAAGTAGGATAAGACATTAACTAGGATTATATAACAGTTATGGTATGATATGTTATGGTAAGGTTTTGTATTATGTACCGATCATGTTTTTTTTTTTCACGGGACAAACAATTTTCCAATTTTGATATAAATCTAACTGTTTTTTAGTTACATACAGGTTTGAAGATTTGTTTTGTAATTAATGCTGTTGTTAATGTTTTTTCTTCTTCAAATTTTCATTTGAACCAAACTATTTTTTTTTCATTTCCCTTTTGAAACAAATTTGTTTTGAAAAAAATCAGAATTATGCAAGCAACTTATTTGAACAAAAAACATGCCCCAAAAAAGATGAATGGTAGATGCCTAATGATGTTGGAGGTTACAAATTTTCACTATTTGTTGTGGTGACTCGACAGGGGCTTGGCATATATTTTGTTTTTGATTTCCGTATGGTGACCTCACTTTGCGTTTTTGTGTTTCTATCTCATTGATGTATACCATGTATCTAAGTTTATTTATTTTAGAAATTGAACGACACGTTTTAAAGGTCGGGCCAATAACGACATTAAGTATTAATGTTATGACCACTAATGTGCAAGTAGGACAAGTAATTCTCACGGGACAAACACTTTAAGCTTTGCCTTACCATTTCATTATAATTTTGTCATATTCTCAATAATACCTAATTGGAATGATTTCAACTTTCATTTTATTGCATTTATCTTTTATTTTTAATTTAGTGGTTCCAAATGGAAGACTCATCTAACACTGTACGATGCCAACCGTCCAAAATTGTATGATATATGGAGTAAATGTTGCTCAATTTTCTGTATTTGCTGTATTGATGACATTAACTTTTATGTAGGTTTATATGATATACTTTATCGTGCCTATAAGTCATGAACCTGGTCGATAGTTGTCTAAAGTCATATCTCAATGATTTGTTGTATGGTAGATCTGGTGTTAACGTATTTAGATTATGACGTTTTAGAGCTTGATATATTGTATAGACACCTGTCTATTGTTGATGCCTTATGTTGCCTTCTATATGCATCTTGTTTAGTAATGTGTCTTTTGGGTTGCTGTATCATTGACGTAAACTCCAAATAACCTTTTATTCGTATAATACTATCAGTTTCTTACTGAAACCTTAATTTTCAAAATTTTCAAAATACTATGATATTGTGATGATAAAGTGTGAAATTATCTCAGCACAAAAATTGACAAATATAGAAAAATATATATTCAAAATATTTATGAAAGTGCTCAGGGAAAATTTAATGATAGCTTCAAGCATCATTTTTACAAAGTTTTATTCTATATGAACAGGTAAGAATAAATCTGTAAATAAAAAAGTATTGTTCCAATTAAATCTGTTATCTCTTTCAATCCAACAATATCAGGAAAACTTATTCCTTTAAATTCTTTCCTTTCTCTTGTATCCTAGTCTGGGTAACTGCCATTATGGATATTATTAAGCTTGTGTAGGAAGTTATCTGTCATTAGAAGTAAAAATATCCGTATATCATTAGGTTTTCATTGCCTATTGACACTATAACATAATCTATATGTATCTCTTAAAAGCTTTTTTTACAACCTTATCTGTTTACATCGGTATCCTGTGCGAATATGGCACTGTAAATAAGGTACATGTATATCAATGTAACAATTTCTGTAATTACTAACCTTGAGGCTTGTATCCTATCATATATGACACTGTATAAGAATAAATCACTATAACACTTTTTGTCATGATAATCATGTAGGCCATAAGACTCTTTAAATTATTTTGTTTTATAGATCTTTCAATAATAATATGGAGGTCATATTCAAGTCCTAAGCTTGCATAAATCTAAACAAAAATAAATAATAAGTTATTCCAGTCTTTCATGTATTCAGATTTTTTAAATGTCGTGAATGATATAAAAATGCTGATTTTTTTTATGTTCACGATGTTAAATCAGGAAACTTACTGAGTCCAAGAATTTACAAGACGTGGGCTGAATGGGTCAGAGACTGCTGTACCAGAGATGATTTGTTTGTTTGTGAATGTAAGCTGAACTCCAATAAAGTTATGAACCTACAGATTTTGACATATTAATATAGATAGAATATAGAACCATGCAGGGTTCCTTTCAAATATTAGTATTTTAAAAGTGCTAGAACTTTTCATGTTAAACATCACTACTTTTCTGCTGTAGCTTTTGTTTAAAAAAAGGCTAATAGACGACCCGTGTGTTGCAAAGTTGCAACCATTGTGGGAATTGAAGAAAATTCTGTTGAAAATGACATTTAATGTATTGTTTACAAATTAATGAATTAAGTTTCTGAATTTAACAAGGATTTACAGTTTAATAGAACACGAGAGTAGTGAATTGTGCTTACGTTTAATGCAATGGAAGGGACTAAATTACAGAGCACAATCATTGGAATCTAATCAAGTGATAGTAAAATTAGTAATACATTACATGTTTTTTACAGTTCCAGGAATGGACGTGAAAGAAAAGGCTTTGTTTGTCTATGCGTGCTTTATGATTGTAAGTAACTGTTAAATCAAAATGTATTTATTTGTATATTGCTACTACATAATAACACATGAAATGCATGCTCTTGTTTACACATTTACTCTTTAATTCACTTTACTCTTTGGTCAAATAGTCTATTATCATTTTGCCTCTATCACACCACAATAACATTATTAAAAAAGCTGCTGGAAATATGAAGGTAAACGATTTTTGTTCTGATTTGACAAGAACTCCACAAAAACTAAATCATGATCCGAAAATAGTTTTGAAGGCATGCAGGACTTTATATATCAGATCAATCTTCATGAAAACTTTTTTTTAAAATTCTTACAGTATTTTGAATTGAACGATTTTTAAGTGAGTTGGGAAGGAACTTGTTCTTCTTTACATATAAAATCTAACAAAGTTATGGTCACAACATAGAAATAATACAGAACTAAATCGATGTATATAATGTAAACATAGATTTTTCTAAACAGCTTCCTATGACCAGCAATATAAAGGGAGATACCGATTGCAATGGATATGACACATGTTTCTTGAATAAACTCAAATTAGGTACCCTTTGGACCAACTTTTTAGAAAGCTTTGCTTAAGGGCGAGGCAACCTAAATTGTAGTATATTTAGTGTAATTATATAATTAACTAACAATTTGTAGTCCACATTGAATAGTTGATTATTGTTATACCAAATAATAGGATAATCAACCGGACACTAGCAAAGACATAGTAGTATTTTCTATCCACTTGTAGGAAACAGAATGAAATATGACTTTTCAATAATGTAACATTATTATTTGAGAATATTTGCATTTGTATTGTATTGTATTTTGTAGGATGTAATGGTATTTGAATCACAGAAGAAATTGAACACCGCTTAGACTTTTAAACCAAATAACAAATGATAACTTAATAAAACAACCACAGTTTGTTTGCATAAAGAGCAAACATCCAATACAATATGTCGATACCTATATTATTTTGGCATTGCATAAGGTCATGTTTTCTCTGACTGTTAATGGCGTTACACTAAATCCATTGGGTATAGGATAGTACTGATTGATATTCAAGTCTTAGACACATGATTTTGTATTAGTTATTATGGGCTTTGAACTCGTTTTCAGTAACTGCGAGTACTGTCTTATCTGTACTTTGTTTCTTTTGTGTATTTGTTAAGATTTTTATGTGCCTTGTATCGATCTGATGAGTTAAGCCATTTTCCACAGATTATTTAGTTAGTTCTTATGTCGTACTGTTACACCTCTGTCCCAGGTTGGGCTGATGGTTTGGCGCCAGCAAACATGATTAACCCCGCCTCATTCTGTTTGTGCCTGTCCACACTCAGGAGCCCGTAATTCAGAGTCTGTCGTTTGTTGCTGTATATCATACATGTTTTTCGCTTATTGTTTTGTACATTAATCAGACCGTTAGTTTCATTTCGGGGCCTTTGATAGCTTACTGAGTGGTACATGTTTTTTTCTCATTGTTGAAGACCGTATGGTGTCCTATAGTTGTTTACTTCAATGGCATTTGGTCTCAGGTGTAGAAATGTCTCATTGGCAATCATACCAAATCTTTTTATTCTTATAATAACATTTATGTAAACATAAAAAGACGTGTTATAATTGCCAATGAGACAACTCTACACCAGAGACCAAATAACGTAAAAGATTAGCAACTTAATGTCACCATACGACCTTCAACATTCAGACTCACAATACAATCTTTAATTACCCTTCCAATGTCTATACCACAGAAACAAGACGTCAAAGTAAAACCAGGAATATAAATATCTAACAGGAAAAATAAGCTGCAAGTGGTCAATTCAAAAGAATTAATTGCATAAATCATTTGGAACAGCTCATTGCATTGTACTTCTCCGTTAACATATACCACATTACAAGACATACTAACACCGTTCTTTCAATTGGAAAAAAAGGGATATGGAAGCGTTCATCGACAATTTGGCGTCAATCGAAGTCTCAGACGTTACACGTACATACTGATCTCAGAAACAAAAAGGGAAACACCATTGTGAATATATTTTAATTCGGTAAATGAGTAATTTTATGAAGTTTGCAAGATAACCTTTGAAAATCTTAGTTTGACAAACATTATTGTACACTCGATGATCTACTCCTTAGACGCCACAAGGCCAATGAAATACAAATTTGACATAAATTAACGCTATAATGCATAGTTTATAAACACTCATCAAAGACACCAAGATTATAATCATTATTTTAAAAGTCAGTTGATTTAGATTCCTAACAGAAATTGATGACTAAAAATACAATACCAAACTAAGGAAAGGGATATTGAAAAGTACTGATCTGTTTCTATGTATTTACAGATCTTGCTTTTAACAAAATATAAGTGATATGGTTGCATGATTTTATTTGTTCCGTACACATTACAAATTATTTCTGCTTTAAAAAAGATTTGACAAAAATATTCATATATGTATATATAACATTATTTTCATTTATATTTATATTCACGATAGAGAAATTCGGATATCTGACGAACGTAATGTATATATTAGAAGTTTGATGTATGACTATACAATCCTATTTTCTGTAGGAAGAGAGACAACTTTTAATCCTTTATGAATACGTTATATAGGATAATTCAATTCTAACACATATTGTGTCTATCCTTTCGGAAACCTGAGATCAATCTCGGTTTTAGTGGCTTTGTGTTGTTCAGTCTTAAGTTTTCTTTGTAGTGTTTTGTAAACTTTTGTCTTTTCGTTATTTTTGGTGTTTGGTTTTTTTTTTGCCATGGCATTGCAAGTTTGTCTTTGACATATGAGTTTTAATGTTCCCTTGATATTTTTCGCCTATTTTGACGTATAATTTAGATTATTGTTTTCAATTTTCATCTATTAAGTACAACCAATATGCAGCAACTAAACATTGGTTAACAATAAACATTAGAAAAATATGCCACTAACATTCGACCAATATAAAGCAAATGTCCACTGAATAAAACTCGAATGGAATCAAGATGTCGGTTAAAACAGAAACAAAGAAAAACAAACCCACACACCGATATAGACAAAAACAACAAACGAAAAGGAAAAAGCTAGTTGACCTGCCTTGTTTCATCATGAAATGTAGAAATTCAACAATATATCTGCTGGAAAATATTTACAGACAGACTTTATCATTATAGAGACTTAACTATCTGAACTGTGTGTTTTTCATTGTTTTTGCCTTATTTTGTAAAAACGTTATTTTCTGATGATATAAATACCAAGATGTGGTATGAGTGCCAATGAGACAACTAGCCATCCAAGTCACAATGTGTAAAAGGTACACAATTATAGGTCAAAGTACAGCATTCAACACTGAGCCTTTGCTCAAACCGAACAGCAAGCTATAAAGGGCCCAAAAAGACGTGTAAAACAATTCAAAGTGTCGGTATTGGTTTGTTGTCCTTTTTATGTATTATTATGACTATTATAATGCCGTCTTTATGATAAATATCCTAAATTATTAGGTTAGTGTTATTTAACCTCAGTTGGACTCATTGCATTTGAAGAACTTGGTATTTTAGCAGAAGTACGGTCTATTGAGACGTTTGTGATGTTCTTAAGTAATGTTCCCATATCATCAGACACAGACACAATTAGTTTCACTATATTACAATCGGTCTTCATCTTGTCGAATTTCTCCTCGTTTTTGCTCAATATGTTTTCTGTTTCATGTAAAAATAGGAATGTTTTGGAATGTGAGCATACATTAAAGACTTGATTTATGTCACTCTTTTGTCTTTCAAGCCTTTCTATATCTTTTTTAATTTCTTGCATGTCTTCTTCAAGCGCCTTTATTTCTGTATTTAGTACGTTTCCCGTCTCATCAATAACTGATAATACATGGCTGTTTATTTTTTCGATAAGAGCTGACATTTCCGCTTCAAGTTTGGGTCTTTCTTCGTTTAACGCTTGGAGAGTAGAATGTTTATGATCATGAATAGTTTTTAATGATTTCTGTTGTTTTTCAATTCTATTCATTATTTCCTCAATTCTAACAGACTGGTTCAGATCATTAGCTATTTTTTCTATCCTTTCTGAATCCTCACATCTTCTGTGGTCTTGTAGAAAACATGTAAAACAAAAAGATGTACAATGATCTGAACAATAAAACTCCCTATTTTCCCCGTTGTGATGATGGCATTTGATAGCCTGCATCAGCGATGTAGTTGGAAACGAATTCACTTCTTCATATTTAATAAGACTATGTCCTGTAAGTGTTGTAATTTTTTCATGTACTGTCTTACAGGAATTACACATTGTTGAATCACAATCTAGGCAAAAAAAGATCCTTCTTGGTGAATCTATATCATCTCCAAGGGAATTGGCGCAAATTAAACAGGAACAACTCTTCAATAACGCCATACTGAAAAAATAAAATAATAGATTGTGTGGCTACATTGAATGATTGAATAAAAGTCTAAAGTTGCAAAACAACTTTTTGTGTACGCTAAGAGGCGAAAGTATAATAAGTCCACTCTAAACTCCTTGGGTTCGAAAATCACCCTTCAAATGTTCACTAGACACAAATCTATTAAATGCATATGTATCAGCAGTAATATTTCTTTTTAATTTGGTCATAGCTATTTGCTTTAAGACTTATCGAATTGAATCCCCATAGTCCTAGGTAAGGAGAGGGGTGAGCGCTTACAAACATATTAAATCCCGCCATATTCTTTATGTGTCGTACCGAAGATAGGAACCTGTAATTTAGTGGTTGTCCTTGATTGCTGTCTGAAATATTTGCTGGTGTTTCATTGTTTTGGAATAGATCAGGCCGTCTTTTGTTTTGTTTTGAATGCACATTTTATCCCTACGGATATTTATATATATCATCTTTTCCTATGGTCTTTATGGATAATCGTCGCATAAGCAATCATATTACATCATTTATTTTTATATCATGAACTTAATTTACATATCGATGAATTTTGAAAGTAAAGTTGCAAATTTACATTTTCTGAAAACTTTTGCCTCCCCAACATCGGGAGTTTGATAGTTTCCTTCAGACACTCCAAGTTCCTCCACCAAAAAATTGAAAATCGACTGCCATGACGTGTAGAAATGGCTAAACAAATATAAAATACCTTAATAAGTTTTGTTAAATTTTGGGCAAAATATTCATAAATGCTGTTTTGCAGAAAGAGCTGAAATTTAAAATAGTGACTTTCCTACATGTTACAATTTGTAGTTAATAAAATTGAAAACAACTGCCTACCTTTGATTTTTCACTGTAAAATGTGTATAATTTTGTAACAATAATATTTAACATTTAGTAATTTACCTATGTGATAAGCTACACAACAGTTATAAAATTTAATCAATATATTAGATTGGTTTAATGATAGTAACTAGAACACGAACTTCAGGTAAGACAAAATGTACATATTGTGTAAAAAATGTCGAGATATTTCACAATGTAGATTAATAACTACTAGATTGATTTTTTAATTTAGGTTTAGGTTGGCGATCTTTAGCAAAATAAAACATCAAATTACTGACGAGTTTTAACTATATGATAACTTTCATAAAATGTGGTACATTGTAGTCAACAACGTTCATCTAGCCTCGTTTTGTTTTGGTTTATTACAATACAGACCTTTTCCTTTTTATATTGTAGAATTCTATTTTGTTGTTGTTGTGTTATTAGGTTATCTTATTGATTTTCGATCATCCATTTTCTACATGTATATATGTCTTTAGCATTGAATTGTACAAGGTTTTACTTCTAGTTTGAAATGGTATTTCAAATTCATGACTGGTATGAAACGTTAACCATATGAAAAGGAACATATATTAGTCAAAATAAATTGTATTGAACGGCTTCAAGTGTTTACACTCTTTCATCGAGTAAAAACCCTGGTATTAATATATTACAAAAACTTCCAAATATGTCCTGGTTATGACTGTTTATTGAACAATTCTCACGTGAACTTGCTTATAATTGATAATAGGGTAACATCTGAAATTGAATATTTCTCATATGATGAGACTAACATTATATTTTTTACAACAAGTAAGCAAACTTAAACGAGTTTCTTGTATGGATATACAGAAAACACTTATATATATTAAAATAAGAAGATATTAAGAAGTATGATTGCCAATGAAACAACTATCCACCTGAGTTCACACGGCGTGGATTTAAGCAATTATAGACCACAGTACGGCCTTCAACAATGAGAAAAATCAATACCGTATAGTCGGCTATAAAAGGCCCCCAAATGAAAAATGAGAAACAATGCAAACGGGAAAATTAACAACCTTCTTTATAACAAAACAGTTAACGAAAAACAAATATGACAGACATGAATCAACGACAACCACTGACAAGACTCCTGGCTTGGGACAGGGACATAAAGAATGAGGCAGGGTTTAACATGTTGTTCCCTTACTTGGAACAGTGGTGTAAAAGCACAACATAAGAAAAAAACTGTGAAATCAGTTGCAACTGGAATAACTCAAAACTCGGTACGAACCACAAAAACAACAAACATAAATTAATTGACACAAAGCACCGAAATAAGAGTACTCGGAGTTACTGTAAGCTAAATCAAAGCCAATCAAAACTCTCAAAGACTTATGTATCAATCAGTACACATCAAACTGATTTAATATAAGGACATCAAACAAAATCTGAGAAACGCATGACCTTGTGCAATATTTTTAGAATACAAGTGAATAGTATCGACAGGATGTAGGATCATGAGTTCTCATAAGAATATATATATTTAGTTATGTTTTAATTTTCATAAAATAAAATCAATGTAATTACTGTTCAAACATTAATTAAAGATTTTACTACTGTGTTAAACTGATAACCTTTAGGAATACATTTATTGGAAGGATTCATTAGTTTACATGGATCGTATCTAACATGTCTACCTTTACGGTCTTAATAAACAGCATCACCATAAAATTTAGGATGTGACATTCCGTTTTCAAATAAATACTCTACTGATACAGCCAAACTTCCTAACCAAATCTTATATCTATAAAAGAATTTGGTAAATATTTAATCAATTTGTTGTATCGGAATCCCTCAAGATCACTTAATAAGTTACCATTTATACATATTTTATAACCTCTAGTTCTTGAACGAGGTTGTGGTCCCGTGTAATGACATGGCCATAAGGATCATTTCTAAACATCGATGTAGTTTAGTGTAACGTCCATTTTCACTGAATTAGTATACATTTTTGTTCAGGGGCCAGCTGAAGCCCGCCTCCGGGTGCGTGATTTTCTCGCTGTGTTGAATACCCATTGGTGGCCTTCGGCTGTTTTCTGCTCTTTGGTCGGGTTGTTGTCTTTTTGGCACATTCCACATTTCCATTCTCAATTTTATCACAGGTTCATGTTGAAAAAGCTAACCGACGAAAATGAAAATGAAACCTACTGGGTTTATACATATTAGAAATTATAAGTGGCTTTATGTTATTTAAAATACTAAATAGATTAATAAAATCAATAATACATCTGTTTATGTAACTTTAGGAAGTATCTTTAATTATCTCTAGGTTTTCAATAGGAGGGATGTCTATGGTGACAAAAAGCTTTTTATGATATTTGTACACTCAAATTGTGGTCTGACAAACTATATTGTCCCACACTCGTTATAAATATTATGTAATGTACTCATTGGTCTTTGATCCAGTTTGCATAATGATTTATGTTCATCACTGTTTCAAATTATAGATAAAAGATATCATCAAGTGTAAAATTAGAATGATATTTATTTCGTTGATTGCGATTATTGTGATTGCCTTGAGACCTATGATGTCTTTTATCAACAATAATCATAATTGAGAACATACTCATCCCTTCTTGTCCAATGGAAAATCAGTTTTCCTTTCTAATTGTCATAGTACATGGCTTTCCATGCACTATAAAATGCTATACATGAATAACTTTTCATTGTAAATTAATTATGAAAGTGAACTCTTAATAACTACACTAATGAAGGGTACAATCCCCCTGAGGCATTTTCCATAGGAAAATATCCTACTGATTAAAGGTGAAAGAGAATAGAATCATAAAAAACATTTTGAATATTGCAAACGTTTATAATGATACATATATGGAACAAAACAACAAACAATTGAAATAAGGCAAAGGTGTAAATAAAATAATCTTTGATCTAATTTTTATACATACCTTAGAGTCAATGTTTTTTTTCAAAGAAAACAATGACTGCTGATATATAAAGCAAAGAAACTTTTTCGAGAAAAAAAAAAACAATACATGTACATTCATCAATAAAAAGTAAGCATCTGATGTTGAATGATCGTAATTTTAATATTTATTAAGTGAGTTTTATAATTATCAAAAAATATACAATTTTCAAAAAGCTGATTTATATAACATTATGTGCTTTTTATAATCACAAAATTTAAGATATATAAGTATTAAATTTTTATCTGAGCAGAAAAAAACTCAATGTTTGATTAATTTATCCTTTTTGTCCTCTCAAAACTATTTCAGTGTTATTTCTGTCCATCCATTGGGATGACCGTTACATATGCTATACATTCCTTTTATTAACCAAGGTAGCACTTCATTACAAAAAGTGAATTCTTGTTAAGATTTGAATTTACAATGGGAAGGATAATTTTGTAATGTCACTCGAAGGTGTGAATATGTTTTAAATTGGTCAGACAATACTTAGTCATGCTTTATAAACATTTAAAACCCTCGGCTACGCCTTGGACTTTAAATATTCATAAAACATGAAGTATTGTCTAAAAGAGGGACGAAAGATACCAGAGGGACAGTCAAACTCATAGATAGAAAACAAACTGACAACGTCATGACCAATAATAAAAAGACAAACAGACAAATAATAGTACAGATGACACAACATAGAAAACTAAAGACCAAGCAACACGAACCTATACATCAATAGAGAAGGTTTTAGATGTGTTCCCTTTTCCCATGATATTGTCATTTAGACCTAGAGGAAACGCTGTCTGTTTAATCCAAGACAGTTCGCAAATTTAACGGGAATCATCAAATTGATTAATATGTGATTGTCCTGATTGTTTCTGAACGGTTTTGTGTGTTTGGAATTATATAAATTTAATGTTGTGTTTGAGTTCTTCTAAATGTTGGTAAATTAAACCATTTTTTTAGGGATTCTGAAGTGCTGTGAATATTCTTCTGTTAGTATGAAAAACTCACGTCCAGTTTGCCCTACATATCGAAAACCACATTTCGGTTTTGTTTATCTGTTCGTGTTAAAAGATAGATGAAGCTTTATTTGAAATATTTGTGGATATAAATGTGCGTTTTTGTTTAATAGCTACAGAATCATTTTACACAATTGTGAAAAGTGCTAAATTTTCAAGGGGAAATCATTTCGCGGCAGTTGAATTTATGTTTATGAATGCGTTTTTTTAAGCACATGGATATTCGAAGTGTAGAGAGGTTTTTTGTATTATTTCCGTTTCTTTCTTTTTGTTCCCTCACTTAATCATTTAAACTGTACCAATTTTACTGCACCAAAATGCGCATTTCGACAGTTAATATCTCTTCAGAGATGATCGATGCCAAAATATTAGAAAATCAAAAAAACTTATACAAACGTTTAAAGAGCTGGTTATATAGAAGAGCCAAATCAAGACAAGGAATCAGAGCTTTGCATGAGGGAGATATATAACTTAATTTGAAATAATTTCTAAAACATTCTCTAACAGAAAATTTCAATAAAACAATATCCATTATATATTTTCATGCCCGTAACGAAGTACTAGCTACTAAGCTAGAAATACCTGCGGGGATAGACGTCATTGGGTTTTGTTGTTCCCCCCCCCCCCCCCCCCCCCCAACAAATCGCCTCGGTTGTTTTGTATTAGCGTGCTCGCCTCAAGTGCGAAAGGTCGTCGGTTTGAACCCCGGCCGGTTCAAACCAAAGACCTTTAAAATTGATATTTGCTGCTTCTCTGCTAAACACATGAAACACGAGCTATTAAGGAGTAGCGGCAAAGACTGGTCGAGTCGGAGTCAGAATAATGTGGCCGGGTAGGGCCGGTGAAATGCCTTCCTGTATCTAGTACCTTGTCACGACCTGCACGTTAAAATCTGGCACAGCGTGTCGGTATATTACAAAGCAGGGTTCATATTCATATTGCATGAACATGTTCTCGTCCTGAATATGCATTTAACTTGCTTCTGGACGTAACACAGCCAGCCATCCATCCCCTCACGTTACAATAGCAAAATCGGAGGAAATGAAGACATACGAAGTTCGTCAGTGGTATCAATGAAACTACTTGTTGGAGGTTGGAGTGATAAAAAAACAGTGAGGGAAAGCTATATAGATTGAGAATTAAAGCAATCTAATTATAATTGATGATTTAAAGACGAAGCGGAGATGTCAATCAAAAACCATAAGTAAAAGAAAAACCTACAATACCAACATCTAAAGAAGAAGGATGAAAAAACAAACAGCAGTCTGCAATACACTTCACAAGATACTGAAGTTTAAGTAAAACGAACCCCCACAACAAACCTGGGGTTAACACTAGTGTTCCGGAGAGTCATTCGGTACCGTTTCACTAGTGAACCTCACCTTGATACTCCTATTGCAAGCCGTTTTTAGATTTATTATATTTTCAAGTTATCGTTTAAAGTTAAAAAGATATCTAATGATGTTAAGAATATATCTTATAAACTAAACTAAATATTTTATAACCTAGATAAGATATCTTATAAAATAATTGATATAAATTAAATAAAATATATTATATTTTGAATAAGATATCCTATTGATCAGTTTAAAAAAAATATCTGATTTAGTTTATTAAATACTTGTTTATTTTAGAAGATATCTAACTAAATTAAAAAAGATATCTTGTTTATTTTCAAAAATATCACATAAACTTTATAAGAATGTCTTATATGTTTTGTTTCCATTTTAATGATATTTTTATACTCAAAATATCACATAAACTTTATAAGAATGTCTTATACGTTTAGTTTCCATTTAAATGATATTTTAATACTCAATACGATTTCTAAGCTAATAGAGATGACTAATAAACTAATAAAGATATTTTATAAACTAAATAAGATATTTGATAATTGAATCATATAAGATATCTGGTATCGTTTATAAGATATTTTATAAAGTAAATATGACATTTAAGATATCTTATAAACTATCAAAGATATCAATAAAGTATTGTCTAAAGTATATCTTTAAAAGATTTGAAATAGCTTATGACTATATAAGATATCTTACTCATCTTAAAAGATATCTTATTCATCTTAAAAGATATCTAATACAGCTTAAAAGATATCCCATTAAGTTAATAAGATATCTTATAAGGTATTTGAGATATCGTATTTACTTTATAACATAACTTAAAATTGAATATATATAGAAACGGCTTGCAATATATTCCTGTAAAATTTGTTGATGAGATATTCTTATATATTTGTAAAGATTACCTAGTTACACAACATGGCTTTAAATATGTTATTTTGTAAAGAAATATAATGTATAACACATTCAGTGCGATACACATGTATCTATAATGTGTTTTCGTAAGGAGAATTCGTACGAAGTATCTAGTCTTGCCATATTTTATACAAAATCTGTTATAGAGTTGTAGAATAACTAATCGAAGAATTCAAATAGAGAAAAATATTCAACGAGTGACCGAACAACACATTAATTAACGAATGCGCGTAGCGCATGAGTTAATTATGAGTTTTGTTCGATCATGAGTTGAATTTTTTTCGATATTTGAATTCTTTGATTAGTTATTCTTTTTATTGCATTGGTAAATAGATTTGTTTTATGAAATTAAAGTAGAAAATGTAAGGAACTATATATATTTCTACGCATTCACAATTTGCTTTGATCAGACGTTATCGACGTCTTGACAACGCCTTTTGTTGTATGACGTCAGAGGAGTGAAATAACCACGTTTATTTCACATGTGAAATTATCGTTTTTTATTTCACTGGGAAATCAATATAATTCATGGAAACCAATGTAATAATGTGAATTAAATCCTAATTCATGCTTGAATTATCAATATAGTTGTTTTACAGAATGGGAGAGATTATCAACCAGTGTGAAATTTGCTTTCTTGGTGGAGAATTGAAAACATCAATAAAGTACTGTTTAGATTGCAGACAGCCACTATGTGAAGGTTGTAATCAACAGCATGGGAAGTTTCGCTTATTGAACGACCATAAAGTGCTTTCAATAGAAGAATATTCAAAGTTCTTACCTGAAATTCGCAGTTTAAAGAAGACGTGTAGTGATCATGAAGATGAAACATTCGAGTTTCTATGTTTTGATCACAATAGTTGTGTCTGCTTCTTATGCTTGAAAGATAAGCACAAACTGTGTAAAGACGTTCATAGAGTAAAATCGCTAAATGCAGACGAAGCTGTTGAATCGTTCTTTTCAAAGCTCGAAAGTAACAAAAAACAGGCAGAGGGACTCCTCAATTCGTACAAGTTCAATATGACCGATCTAATAGCATCAACACAATCCGCTAAAACTAATATTCAGTCCATAATAAATAATGCACAATCGTTTTTACACAAATGTCGCTCCAAAATAGAAAAACAACTTGCAGATGAAACTGTGCAATTGAAACAGAAAATTAAATATTGTGAAGCAGTAGTAGCCAAAATATCACAGAGAAAAGAAGTGCTTAAAAAATTCATCAAGTTTGGCGATTCTTACCAGGTATTTGGCAAACTATGTGCTTTGGAAACTGAACAGAAAAGTGACGAAAAACTACTACAAGATATGAAAAGTAAACTCCACAAAGTAACATTTCGATTTCAGATTGTACCACCAATTCTTGATCAGATTGTTCGTCTTACTGTTTCTTAGTTATTCAGTTCTAAAAAAAAACTGTACGTCATGACTAGAGGTTACGGTATAAATGTCAATATAAATTAATCAAATAAACCCAATAAATACATTCAGATTCTCCGTCTTTACGAATTATCATGCGTGCTCCCTTAAAATTTAGTATAGTTATATATTTCACAGTGCAATAGAACTAACGGTCATTAAGATCAACATTTAAAACTAGCATGAGGCCTCGGTGGTCGAATCTAAATAGTCGCAATACTGTATCACTAGCCTGTCAACAATGAGGTTTTGAGTTCGAATCGCTCACGTGTCAGGTGCACTTGAATCCAATCTTAATTGACAAGGGTTGTCAATTTTCCTACCGAAGATCAGTGGTTCTCTCCGGGCACTTTGGCTTCCTCCACCAATAAAAACTGACCGCATCGAAACAGCACAATAGTGTTGATTGAAAGTGGTGTTTAACACCAATAAATCAATCAATAAAACTGGCATAAATCATATCCCCCATGCATGTTTCTCTTTATATTCTGATTAAAAAGAAAACATTTGAAAACGTTCTGGTTGGATGTAAGTCTTATTCTCCATGGTCAGATGGTACAATAAAGAAAATTCTAGAAAGTTCCACTGCTATATAGAGATCAATGTGTAAAGTTATAGATCAGAGAATTCTTTTCCATTATATGCAAATCGGTAAAGCTTGAAAAATAAATCTATATCGTCATAGATAATCATTGACAACATTTACATAAACGGGCAATTAACACATAACATCATTTATACCGGGATATAGTAATAAAGTATGAAAACATCACTTCATTCTTCACTAGAAAGCCACTGCATAAAATCTTCTTCGTTAGATTAAATGTTCAAGTCGGCGATACGAGAAGGACAGATGGCTCACATTGACATCCCGAGTGCCAGTTGATTTGACCTACGAAGCCAAAAGGTTTGAACTCTTCCGATACAGTCCCAAATCTAACTACTAGTACTTTAAACTTACAGCTATCATTTCGTTAACTCTTCATAGAAATGAAGATAAATGAAATTGACAAAGAAAAACAAAGAGAAAGTCTATTTCTGAAAAAAAAATTAACAAAGGCGTTAAACCTACAATGTCATTAATAGAGGCCATATTTTTATTCATAAAACAGAAGTTCTGAAATACTTTTATTTTAAAAAGCAGTTTGTTCCATTTATCCCTAATAATATACAAATAACGAAGTGTGGTACGACTGCCAGTGAGTCAACCTTTGAGATCGAAGGAGAATAATACGAACTTTTATAGGTCACAATAAGGCATTCAAGAATGAGCAAAACCCTTTCCGTATAGTAAGCTTTAAAAGGCCTCGATTATGGCAAAATATTAACTTAATCAAAACAGACAACAAATGGCCTGATTTATGCTATAATAATGAACGAAAAACAAATAAAGCAAACAACAACAACCACAACAACCACTGGATTGCAAATTCTCAGATTGAAGACCGTAAAGAATGTGGTGGGGTTTAAACTGTTTGTGAGCGCTTAACCATCCAATCACGAAACCACATAAGAGTAACTTTGAAAATCAGTAAGAAAGGGCTTAACTCTGCAGATCAGTTCTTAGTTTGCAACTACACCAGGCAACGTTGACTTGGTTGAGATTTTTCCTAATCCTTTAGTAATTTTTACATTCTCAAACATCTCATATTTTTTACTATCTACACTTTCGGTCATGAGTATACAATGTACCTAATGACGTTTATTCCAACACAATGCGTTGTGTTCAAGGAAATCACAGTTGCATATTCTCTGTTTTTATACCACATCTTTTGCCAAGGTGACCATGATTTTCTGCAAAAAGGTTTTTCAGGACTTCAAGTAAAAAACCGCCTGATTGCGCATGTCCAAGTTTTCCACTAAAAATATAACGACCATGCAGCCAAGTTATAACTGGCGGCTTTAGGTAGCAATACACAGTTAAGAAAAAAACTTAAAACTGACACTCATAATTTTAAACCACCCTCTTTCCTTTGCTTTCCAACAAATAAGGTTTTATGTTTGTGTTATGTATGTGCATATGTATGGAAACAGCATCTTCCATAGATTTGATTTCCACAAATTGAAGTGGTGAAATAAAATCTCTTTTTTTGGTGTAACCATGGCAATAATCTGCATTTATTTGATACAAAATATTGCAAAAAGGAGGGGGGTGAAATTGTCACAAAAATCCCCAAAATTTGGTCCAAAGAAGAATTTCAATCCATTCGAGTGATACCTTTTCTGAAACCATTGACATTTATCTACCAAGAGGTCCAAAAAATCATTTCACCTCAATTTTTCATAAAATTAAATTAAGTTCGAGGGTCAAATATTTGTTTAAAAAACTACAATATTTTCTGGACCTATGGGCGGTACAGATGTGAAAATACGGACTGTCAAACAGAAAAATGGCCTATAAAACATGCAAAAAACAATCTTGATGTTGATATAAATCCACTTTGAAGGCTGTATTATTCTTCGAATATCTATAAATCATTTTTTTTGCACAAAAACTCAGTTTCATATTTAAAAAATTCACCATGGCAAAAATGCGAAACAAAATTCCTAACTGTGTATTGCTACCTTAACATTGTAAATGACTTTTTCTTTAAGCAATGCTCTTCAACCAAGTGTATGATTTTAAACATCAAATTTTGATTCAGGTGCCACTGATGAGTCTTGTGTGGGCGAAACGAGCGTCTGTCGTAACAAATTATAATATAAATAAGAAGATGTGGTATGAGTGCCAATGAGACAACTCTCCATCCAAGTCACAATGTATAAAAAGTAAACAAGTAAGGGGCCAGCTGAAGGATGCCTCCGGTTGCGGGAGTTTCTCGCTGCATTGAAGACCCATTGGTGGCCTTCGGCTGTTGTCTGCTCTATGGTAGGGTCGTTGTCTCTTTGACACATTACCCATTTCCTTTCTCAATTTTAATTATAGGTCAAAGTATTGCCTTCAACAAGGGCTCCAAAATGACTAGTGTAAAACAATTCAAACAGGAAAACCAACGGTCTAATCTATGTAAAAAACGAGAAACGAGAAACATTCCTGAGGCTCCTGACTTAGGATAGGTTCATACAAATGCAGCGGGTTTAAACGTTTTCACAGGTGTCAACCTTCACCCTTACCTGAAACAGTAGTGGAACATTACAACATAAAAAAGACACACTATAATAAGCCTGGTATCTTTAATGAGTTTTTTCTCTATTACAAATATAGTATTCTGCCCGAAGACATAGCCCTAAAGTATAGCACCCATGTGTTCAAGTCACCATATATAAACCGACTGGAATTAAGGGATAAAGAAATCATGTAGGACAAGCAGTCTAATTGTTGAATATTTTAAATCTTTAAAGTTGGTGTTAGTTAGCCTCATATGGGATCATTGCATTTGAAGAACTTGGTATTTTAGCAGAAGTACGGTCTATTGAGACGTTTGTGATGTTCTTAAGTAACGTTCCCATATTATCAGACACAGACACAATTAGTTTCACTAGATTACAATCGGACTTCATCCTGTCGAATTTCTCCTCGTTTTTGCTCAGTATGTTTTCTGTTTCATGTAAAAATAGGAATGTTTTGGAATGTGAGCATACATTAGAGACTAGATTTATGTCAATCTTTTGTCTTTCAAGCTTTTCTATATCCTTTTTAATTTCTTGCATGTCTTCCTCAAGCGCCTTTATTTCTGTGTTTAGTAAGTTGCCCGTTTCATCAATAACTGATAATACATGGCTGTTAATTTTTTCGATAAGAGCTGACATTTCCGCCTCTAGTTTGGGTCTTTCTTCTTTTAACGCTTGGAGATTAGAATTTTTATGATCATGCATGGTTTGTAATGAATTTTGTTGTTTTTCTATTTTATTTATTATTTCCTCAAGTCTAACTGACTGGTTCAGACCATTGGCTATTTTTTCAATCCTTTCTGAATGCTCACATCGTCTGTGGTCTTGTAGAAAACATGTAAAACAAAAAGATGAACAATGATCTGAACAATAAAACTCTCTTTTTTCACCATGGTGGCGGTAACAATTGATGGCCTGCATCAGTGATGTAGTTGGGAACGAATTCACTTCTTCATATTTAATAAGACTATGTCCTGTAAGTGTTGTTATTTTCTCATGAACTGTCTTACAAGAATTACACATGGTTGAATCACAATCTAGGCAAAAGAAGATCTTGCTTGGTGAATCTATATCTCCAAGGGAATTCGAACAAAAACAGGAACAACTCTTCAATAACGCCATACTGAAAAAAATCAAAATAATTACATATGATGCTAAATTGACAGCTGAGATAAAGTTTCGACGTTGACATGGTACGATAATAAAAGCCTGTCTAAGAAGAGAATGAAAGATGATAATTAAGGCAATACTTGACCCTTTTAGTTCAAACATCAAAACAATATTATAGATGGAACGCCATAACTTTCTTTAGTAGGTGTTTTCTTTGATATAAACTTTTGCGCAAAAGAATTTTATTTCATGAATGGAAATGTGTATAGGGATCGTGCACATCACCAATGAGAGGCCCCGACAGACTAATATTTCGAGGAAATATGTTCTTTCATCATCATAAAGTTTGCACGTAAAATAATAAAATTAAAAGGTACTACGCATCTACTGCATATAATGTAGTTTGTACAGATTATAATTATTATACACAAAATGAAGAAAATATAAGTACATACAAAGATAAAAACACATAGTATAATAACGTAAGCACATAACATAAAAGGTACTCATGTATTTCAATACCGTATCTGTAATTACTTCATATATGAAAGTATCTATATAATATAACGTAGTAATTGCATATCATAATAAATAAAGATACTTCCGAAAACAGACATGGCGTTCCATAGTATTACATTTTTCAAATTACATTATTCAGATGTTCACAATTCTGTCAGGTACCAGTATTCGTATTTTTTTTCAATTGCTTGAAAACATAAAATATAAAAAAGGAGATGTGGATGATTGCCGATGTGACAACTATCCACCAAAGTTCAAATGAAGTGGATGTGAGCAGTTATAGGCAACCGTACGGCCTTCGACAAATGATAAAAAAACATATCGTATAGTCGGCTACAAAAGGCCTCGACATGAAAAAATATGAAATAAATCAATTGAGAAAACGGCATAATTAATAACAAAACAATTTACGAAAAAACAAATATGACAGACATGAACCACTGAACTACAGGCTTCTGACTTGGGACAGGAACATAGAAAATGTGGCAGGGTTAAACATTTTTATGACCGCTCAACGCTCCCTATAAAAACATTTTTTTGATGCAAAACTGCCAAAACTGCAATAATAGCCTATTTCTTAGATCTTTTCATTAATATTCAGACACAAGTGAATATCTTACCCAAAAAGATGTCTTATTTAATGATTTTAATCTTGGTAAAATCTAACATGTTATGACGACATAGTAATATCACAATTGACATTCGGTTCTAAAGGATCAATTTTTGTCATTTAGTTAGAACAAGTTTTGAAAATAATTATGATTTTGATGATTTTGGAATTTCTGAAGTCTGTATATACCTTTTCTGCCAAGTTTAACCCGCGATTTTCTTCGGATAATACCTGTACCACGCGAGGAATATGACAGTTGTTTTTTATTCGTTCCGTTGTTTCATATAGTCTAACGTTTGATTTGTCATTTTTTTTAAACTTCCCCGTTTTGAATTTACCTTTGAGTTCGGTATTTCTGTTACTACTTTTTTATACCTCCTCCTCGCTTGACATTTGAATTCATAAATAAAGTAATATGAACCTATGCCATATTAAAAGAAAATGTATTTTGCATAATATTCTTAAAATTTTATTTATGTTCACTTCCTACAACACAGGCTACTAAGATATGATGGTCTGAATAAGTGAAGTTGCAAGTGTTATAAACAGAAAAAAATATCAGAGGTCTGGTTGTCATAACGTGGTCGAGTGAACTTCACCTATATATGTCCTTACTACACAGGATCCTAATTGGAAAGTTGTTGAATCGCACCAGAATTGGTGCTGTCCATGGCAAGTCAGAATATATATCGTTTATTGTTGGACATATAAAAATCAATCATTTGACCTTGAAGATCAAAAGTCAAGGTCCAATATATCTTCCACGGTACGCCGCACATTGTCTTCATGAGCGGGCAAATACTTACTTGATTGATAGATTGTAACGTAGAAGAAAAAAGACACACATGTATATTACTAATAATCAATAATTTTTCTTGTACGATAAATGTCTAGAACATTTTTGCAGTTTAGTATAAGTACACTGGGACATAAAGAAAGAGTTTTGGACAAAAACTTATATTGCCACTGTATCAAATTTATCTCTACAAAAAATACTGTATTCTGCAAATAGATCAAATTTAGATTACCCGCTTTCTTATGTTACAACCTGTAATTATAATAAAATTGAAAAACCTGCTTACCTGCGATTTAACAATTAAAAATGTGTATAATTGTGTACAAAGAACACAGATGGATGTATTACAGTTAATGACCTTTGTGATAAAATACACAATAGTTGATATTTAAATGATAATGTTTGATAGGTTTTAATGACATTCACCAGAACACTAAGGTAAGACACGTGGTTTTAAAAATATCGAGAATTTAATAAACTGATTTTTTAAGTTGTTAGATCAGAAAGGAAGTAAAACACCGTATGTATTTTTAAATTTTAACACTTGTTTAGTATTTGGTTGTTTAGCTAGTTTAAGAATTTATCAAACTCGTGGGAGTGGTGGTAGCACTTACTATGTTATGAGTGGTAAAGATGAGCCACAGGAATAGGTCATATTTCCAAGCTTCAAGATGAAATATATTTATACATCCCGCCATTGTGTTATTGTTCCATGGTAATTATTGTCTTGTCTTTCATTTTTGCTTATGTACTTTGTCTATTGAGTGTTTATATCCATTTGTTTTTCTTTGTTGAAATAGTTATTTGTTTTAATTGTGATTAAGATTATAACAAAATGTTGACTGCTGTACCCCAATATTTGTTTTGCTCACACATTGTTGTCAATATAATGGAATTCTATGCGACTGTCATACAAGTGAGAGGTTTAGCTAGCTATAAAACGATAATAATCTAACGAAATGCCTGTACGAAGTCAGGAATATGACAGTTGTTTTCCATTCGTTTGATGTGTTTGAGGTTTTGTTTTTGCTATTTGATAAAGGACTTTCCGTTTTGAATTTTCCTTAGAGTTCGTTTTTTTTTTTGTTATTTTACTTTTTATATAATAAGGATGGTGATTAAATCATCTGAAACTGATCAAACGAAATGGGAGATAAATCTGCCATTTAGAAACTGTCAATTAAATATTCTGAACGCAACAGTAACCCCATAAATAAATTATCAATGTCTCTATATTGAAATTATTTTTAGGTTACATGACTAAAAAATACTGTAAGGTCTTTAGTAAATCGATTTAGATCTTTAGACATACATTACCAAAAATAATTAAATAGTTTTTAAACAAAATATTCACTACAACTGTATCAAATTTTATCTCCACAAATAATGTTGTTCCGCGAAAAGATCAAATTTGGATTATCTGCTTTCCGATGCCACAACGTGTGGTTATGATAAAATTAAAACAACAGCTTACCTTCGATTTTACAATTGAAAATGTTTTTTGTACAAAGATTACAGATGGATGTATTACAGTAAATGACCTTTGTGATAAATCACACAATAGTTGATATTTAAATCATAATGTTAGATGGGTGTTAATGATATAAGCCGGAACATAAAGGTAAGACACGTGGTATAAGAAATATCGAGCAACCTATATTTGGCTGGATAAAGTACCTAACTGTTTTTTTTTAAGTTAAACAAGGTATCAAATAAAACGTGAAATCAACATCAAGTTTAGAAAACCTCCATTTCTTCTTACCGCTCAATTTCATGATGTTAGTTAGATTATTTTTTAATTTGATGTTACTTTAATTTTTTTCCTTTTAGTTGATTTTTTTCAAATTCAACCTTTTTATTATGATTTAAAGACATATTGTACATGCTTGCATGGACGAAGGCAACTAATGTTAACGTAGTCCGTGCATGCATGGACTAACACAATAGACTTGGTCTATGCATGCATGGACGAATGCAACTAATGTTAACGTAGTCCATGCATGCATGGACTAACACAATAGACTTAGTCCATGCATGCATGGACGAAGACAACTAACGTTAACGTAGTCCATGCATGCATGGACTAACACAATAGACTTAGTCCATACATGCATGAGCTAAAACTAACTTTGTATATAAATTAGAAATTATTCAATTATTCAAGCAGACTTAGTCCATGCAAGTATGGACTAAGTTAACATTAGTTGCCTTCGTCCATGCATGCATGGAATAAGATTAGTTCCAAAGTTTTCATGTTTAAATAACAAGAAAAGGTTTAGTCATACTATCAAGTGTTTGCAATTTATTTCTTAAGGTAAGTTATAATGCACAATATGTCGTTCAAGCATAATAAATAGGTTCAATATGAAAAAATCAACTAAGAAGAAAAAAATGAAAGTAACATCAAATTAAAAAAATAATGTAACTAACATCATGAAATTAAGCGGTAAGAAGAAATAGAGGTTTTCTAAACTTGATGTTGATTTCCAGTTTTATTTAATACATTGTTGTTATTAGATCAGTAACGGAATAAAACATCAAATATATTTTATTTTATTTTTTGACAATATGAACACGTACTTATGTATTGTGGTTGTCCAATATAAGAGTTTATTAAAATACATTCGTCTTGCCTCGTTTTAGAACCAAGCTTTTTGTTATAAGGGAGGAAAGGGTCATACTTTGTATTTATACATAATTCACACATCTAAGTTTTAATTCCAATTGCAAGCAAAATTACTTTAAAAGGGTTTATTCGTAAAAAGCTTCGTGTGTCGCATCGATTTCCTGGATAGTCCGTCGTGGTTTGAATTTCCAGAGATGAAAATTTCAAAAGGTTTCGTTATCATAAATTGTTTGTTTTGATTTATGCCGTTCATATCAATTTCCTAGTATTATAGCGCAATGCCTATTCTGAGAATTTTCACAAATAATTAAAAGCTTATAGACGACCCATGTCAACATTTGTTATGAGTACTATTTATAAAATATTGAAATTCAACTCTTCAATGAATGACTTCATGAAGGCGTTAAGAATACGATAGTCATTCTATAAATTCATATTTAAATATCTTATCGGATCGGATAAATCACAGTGCGTAATTCAAATGTAAAACTAATACAACATGACAAATAATGTAAATAAAACTGTATTTGCTTGTTCAAGGTCAGGAGCCAATAAATCAATGTTTTTTTTTTATTCTGTATATAATATTTGTTTTTCGTTTATTGTTTTATACATCAATTCAGGCCGTTAGTTTTCTCGTTGAAATGTTTTACATTTGTCATGTCGGGGCCTTTTGCCAATTGCTATACGGTATATCTGTAAAGGTTTTGCTCATCGGTGACCTTTAGTGGGTTGCTCACACAATTTTTGTCAATATAACTGAACTGTAAACAGCTATCGTACAAGAAGATTTAGCTTGCTATAAAACCAGGTTTAACCCACCATTTTCTTCGGGTAAAAGGCATGTACCAAGTCAGAAATATGACAGTTGTTTTCGATTCGTTCCGTTTGTTGATATAGTCGAGCGTATGGTTTTGTCAGTTTCATGGACTTTCATTCAGAAAATAACTATAAAACAATATCCGTATGTTCATGCCTGAACCGAAGTACTGGTTACTGGACAGACGATACCCTTACAAGTCCACTCACAGAGGTATTGGCCCAGTGATAATTTTACTGTTCCAGATTGAACTTGGATAATTGCTTTGTTGGTGGGTATTAAAAGTTAATATACACGTTCCAGAGGTTGGAAAAGAAAAGAGGGACGAAGGAAGGGATATGCATGTCTTCTTTGAGAACCTTCGTCAGTGGTTGGATTTGTTTTTGTCTTATTGTTACAATTTTCCCAATAGGGAATTTGATGATTTGATGGTTTTTTTTCAGAATTATACCTTTCTTATGTATAGAGACACTTGTCTGGTCTGATGAAAATCAAATATATTTATATCTTAACTACTAGAAGACCTTTTTGCTCTGTTGTTAGTCTGTTGCTCTGTTGTTCATCGTATCAATTGAAATATACTCAATTTATGTATTTATTTATCCTTAACTACTGTAAAACTAGATACCCTCACAATCACATTTGTATCACGGCAGTGGTATTACTATCATTGTCGATACCAATATTACTGTACCTGATGGAACTTGGGTAATTGTTTAATGGGTGCGTATCAAATGTTACTATACAAGTTCCATAGGTTGGAGGGATGTGCATATCTTAATTGAAAACCTTCGTAAAGGATCGACTCTGTTATTTCCTGTTAAATCTGATAACGACCATCTTTTTAATTGACATATACCCAATTTGTGTACTTATTTATATCCATATCTTTAATGTTGAATGAAGTGGAATATTTACATGGATTACTGATATAAAACTCTCACAACATGAAACCATTATTAGAAATTGTATTCAAAGACCTAATTAAAAATTCTCTTTTGTGTTTACACTTTCTCTGGATGTGAAAACACCCGGTATTGAATGGTGTCTTCTGGCTATTCCTACATTTTGTATTTTACTATTCTGGCTATTCCTACATGGGAGATTAGTGGAAGAACAATAGATGTTGTTATTGCAAGATATGTTGTTTTAGTCATTAGTGTCTAATTGGGTCAAAGGTAAATTTACCTGTGGAAATTAAATAAAAATTATTATTTATATGTAAAAAATTGGGTTTTTTTTTGTTTGAAAACATGCATCAAGTATTAAAATTAAGTGTTTCTAATATTATGGAGTTTCTAAAAAATAAACTTATTTAAAAGAAAAGGAAGTAAAAGCATTTAGCAGTCTGGAAAATAAAATTATTTAAGAGGAAAAGTAATAAAAACATTTAAAAAGGTCTGGAAAAAAACGTATTTAAAAGAAAATTAATAGTAACCAACACTTTCAACTTCAGCCTCAAAGAATTTATTAATTTCATTATTTTAAAATGAATTTAATATCAAGAGTAATGCTAAAAGTACTTAATTATTATAGATAAGTGTATAAATTGGCCTAATAGATTAAGCCAAGCCAAGAAACTTTGAACTCTAATTAGCTTTGAACACTATTAACTTGTGATCAGTGTCTTAACTGGACACCACAAGCTATACCAAACAAGTAAGCGTTATTATACATAGCCAGATTTTTCCTGTGATGTTCATTTTTTAGAAGTTAGAATTAGAATATCCCGAATTTTATAATATCAATAAGTAATAGCTTCATTTATTTAATCATATTTATTTATTTTTTTATTTTATTTATACAATTTGGATTTTCAGGGGGGGGGGGGGGGGGGTATATTATGAAACAGTTATTGCATTTCGGGAGTTAGACATGGGCTTGTTCTCTGCCTGACTGATCACCAGTCTATGTTTGTCCAACACTGTTCTACCAGCTGTACACTTTCCACGCCAAAGTTGATGGTACTATGTTTCCACTGGTTTACAGTCTCCTACCCGGTAAAGATCAGCAGATATACACAAGGCTACTCACTATTCTTCAAGATCTATGTAACCAATTCAACATACTACTACAACCAGCCACGATGTTCCTCGACTACGAAATAGCCATCAGAAAGGCAGCCACTTCAATCTTCCCAGGAATCAACATTAAAGGGTGTTTTTTCCACTACACTCAGTGTATCTGGCGAAATGCACAGAATCATGGTTTGCAGACTGAATACAGTGAAAAAGGCAACATTCACCAACTTGTTCAAAGGGCTACAGTTCTGCCACTTTTACTACCCAATACAGTTGAAGATGTTTGGTTTAACGCACTGGAGGACATCGATGATGCAGATACTAACACACCAACCCTTAACTTTACAGACTATGTAACCAGCTACTGGGTAGAAAACAACCTTTGGCCTATGGAACCACTACGCAACAGAAGGTCCTAGAACAACAAATCATTTAGAAGGTTGGCATAGTAAACTAAAGAAGTTAGTAAAGGCACCTCACCCAAACATCTTCAGCATGATCAAGTTGTTGAGACAAGAAGAAGCCTTCCAAGCTCTCACATTTATTCAATACAGAGCCGGCGGGAAACGTATTCCAAGAAAGAGAAAATACAGTTTCATATATATACAATAATTACCTGGATTTACCTTGATTCATTAGTTTAGTGTTGTTACAACATAATTCTACATAATCCCATTGTTTACATAAAAATTCTGGGAACTCCTACATAAAATTTTACTATTTTACCTATATAATTCAAAATGTAGGAATAGCCAGAATGAACCTATTGAATATACAAATGTAACGTTGATTTTCCATTAAAACCCTTTTTGATATGACTGGATATTGAATATTGGAAAAAACAAATATGTCACTTTTTCATGCTTTACAAATATATGACAGCAGGGGAAAATTTGAGATAATATATATTGTATGATAAGATAAATATGACTGTAACCTTCGGATATCAATTTTTAGATTAGATAAACTATATCTGGTGTAATCTGAAATTACTCCAAACGAAGGAGTTTAATATATGAAATAAAAACCTCGATGCTTACCTAACCTTTTGAACGTAAATTGAAATTAAACTTTTTAAATGGTGAAATAACAATAAATACAGACTGAATAATTTTTCTGAATATTTTTTTGTCAATATTTAGTAAGTT